TCATAGTTCCCCTTCTACGACCATGAGTTATCTCTCCTATTTCTGCAGCTATCGCTATTCATGCAAGCCGAACCGTTACGTCAGATGGGTCGGAGTAACATTCATAGCGCACCGACCTAATTTTTATTTCGCATTTTGCCTGGAGTGGACTAGAGCGATAGCTGTCAGCAGTTGTCCTCGTTTCGTTAGTTTATATGCTCAAAGCATTTCTGAACACTTTCCCAATTTCAGCGAATTTCAGGGTCCGCTCATCTGCCCACACCGCAATGTTACCGCAAATAATGTACTACAACCTTCTTTTTATTATTCTCCTTGTACTTGCTCTCATCTACACAATCGAAGCATGTAAGCGAGCAATTTTCTTCTACTTGTACTTGGAACGATGTCACCGATGGGTGGTTTCTACAGCGATCTCGCTGGCACCTGACCCCGCCCAAGTTGATATGATTGTAAAAAAATTGACAGAAAGAGGTGAGGAGGGGGGGGGGTCTCCCACAACTAACCTACTCTTCGAGCTTTGCCTCAAGGGTTGTTATCCACTTATCTCAAAGTAGCCCAAATCACGATCTCTTCTTCAGAAATGTCACGTTTTCGGTAGCAGAAAATATTGGTTCTCATGAAAAAGGGTCCGCTTATTGTGAAAACCAACTGTAGAAAAAAGTATGTGCATTCAAGAATGACTTTGGCGAGGGTGGTTTGCGCATTTCGTCAGAATCAATGCTCAAAAATGCCCAAAGACGGCAGGCTTCCATTTCAGGCGCGCCTTTGACGGATCTCACGAGTAATGCTGTCTTCTTGTTGAGCTCTCCAGTGATAGACAGAGGGGAGGAACTGAGTGAACCTACTCTGCAATGGGAACAAGGAGTATATCTTGTAGCTGAATATTATTATAAAAATGATCAGCCAAAGTAGTGGTTGAAAATTTTGGGCGCTCGTTTACTCAGGGGAGCTGGCATCGTTCTGCTACCGAGGAGGTCTTTCAGGACATGGAGCGCTTTTTCGAAATGGTTTTCTGAATGTTGTAGAGGCTCATGTGAGGAACACAGAACCATGGTCCATTTTTCCTGAACGCCCCAGGAATGTCAAAACAGCGGGGAAGAAATGGTCCAAAGTTCGATCCTCCGTGATGACAAATTTTTGCAATTTATGTTGGCGCCTCCAAATTGCCGCAAAACACGACAATGACATCTATTCTCGACGATGGCGCCATTTGGCGGCAATCTGGGGGCGCCAAACTATATTGCAAAAATTAGTCATCACCGGGGATCGAACTCTGGACCATTTCTTCACCACTGTTTTGACATTCCTGGAGGCGTTCAGGAAAAATGGATCATGGTTCTGTGTTCCTCGCATGAGCCCCTACAACATGCAGAAAACCATTTCGAAAAAGCGCTCCATGTCCTGAAAGACCTCACTTGTCCAACGCACTCCTCATTTTTCTTACCGGGCCCCCGCTTAGAACTAGACCTTAAAGGGACTAGGAGATTGAGGTGTGAGCACCCAAACTTTATCCTCTCCTCCTATGTAGGCTCAGCCTGCATAGCTATACACCCCCCCCCCCTTCGCATTAGTACAGTGGCATCAATTCTTGCTCAACTGAGTGTCGAGCAGGTCATCTCAACATTCTCATGGTTAGGCAATAACTCTCATTAAAACTGGTGGCATTTTCGAAAGAATAATCGAAATGCTGCCAGTTTCGATTCTGCTAATTATAAGAGAACTAGGAGTCTGTTTTTCCTGAACAACTGGCAGTTTTCATTTTTTTAGCTGGCAATGTATTCTTTCGTAAAATAAGGATTACAGGTTTTGGCCGGTTTCGGCGGTATGAGGGGACCATTTGGTTTCTTCGGCAATGGCTAGAGATTTCCGCTAAGACCATTCTTCGTTCGAAATCATCTTTTTGATATATAGATTTGATGCTAATGAAAAAACAAATTGGCAATTATGTTAGGATTATGCTGTCCCGAAGCCCCGAAGTTTGTCAAAATGTTTGTACTCTTTGAGGCTCTCCAAAAAGGAGACAAAAGTTGTTTATTTTTTGATGCAGCGATATTTCGGTGCTCGGCAGCTTCTCCTGGCCTGCAATATTCGAATTAGTAAGTTAGTTAGTAATTTGGAAGGATTCAACTAAATCACCTTACTTCGCCTCTAATATTGTACCGGTACTGTACTTACCACACCCGGTCGGTTTGGTGCAGAAAAATTTCCCATTAGTAGGGGCGGAGCAAGGTGTATAATTAATCTTTCCGAGATAACTTTCTAATTCAAATATTCCAGTCAAACTAAACTGCTGAAATCCCCTCACTTGTTTTTCTATGTTTAATTGTCGAACTTAAATGTCAAGGTTCAAGAATATTCAAGAATATTCGTGAAGTGGAATAGAATAGAATATTTATGAAGTGTACTCCATAGTGCTGATGCAGTTGTATTTGTTATTTCAATAATAAAATGTTCAAAATGAATTTTGAAGTTGATCAGATAGGATTTCCATGCATTTATTGCTGTGCATTTTTCATCCTCTAAAATTTATAATCAAATGGAAGGACGATACAGGTAAAACAAACGCTTTTATGGCGTCATAATAAATAAATATAATACATCGCGATACTGCAAAAGTTTAGGATTGTCCTCCGACAGATATCGAATAGCCAACATTCCACAGCGAATGCTGGGC